ATGGACGATGATTTGGAAGCGATAATGGCTGCTTACGACGTGGGAGGAGCACCAGCCGCCACCGCGGGCATGGGTAACAGCAGCGGCAGCGCTGCTGAGGCTAGCGGAGGCGGCGACGGCGGTCGGGACGGCAGTTACAGCCTATTCAGCCTTAGGTTCAGGTCCGGTCTACTCGGGAGAAGCAGCAAGGGCGCGAGTACTAGCGCCGGAGGGGATGGCGGGGGTAACGGAGCGTCTTCAGCGAGCGGAGAAATGCCGCCCCCGCCCCCGCGCCCCCCATCCGCGCAAGCAGCCAAGGACGCCGCCCCCGGCTCGGGAGCAAGAAACACCGCCGACACCGCCGACACTGCCGCTGCCACCGTGCCGGCGGTGTGGTTCCCGGACCCCTTCCAGCAGCCGCAGCAGCAGTCGGGGAGGCTGTCGGGGTTGCCGGAGAACGAGGAAGTGGTGCCGGAATCACCAGGAGCGAGCTTGGAGGGAGCCAGGGTAGGTGGTACGGCCGTTCGTTGTCGGGTACTTTTCTTTTAGTGTTGTCCTTAACCTTTGGTTTTCTTTGGTTTCCAAGCTGCTTCCAACTCGCGCCTAAGTCCGAGATACAGTACATTTCCAGGGAAGGTGGTACTTGTTGTTTTCGTTCTTTGTGGGGATGTTTCTTGTTCTTGCTGTATCTTCATCCTGAGCCAATGCTCTCTTTTTTAGTTCCGAGCTGTGTTCCAATTCGTGCTTAGACTCCGATAGTAGTCGCCAGGGGTACCGCATGACTCTTTTGGTTCATTTTTTCCAAGCTGATATCAATTTGTGCTTTGTCAGGTTTACTTCCAGGGTGTGTCGTACTTAATACACTTGTCGGGTCGTTTTTGGTTGCTCTTTATTGTCATCCTGAACCTCTGTTTTTCTTTTTTTAGCTCCAATCTGCTGTCGATTCGAGCTTACTGTCGACATGTATCTTTGCTCTCTCGTTGTTCCCTCCGCAGCTTTGAAACGGCTGTTTCCCCTGCCCTCTATTTTGGTCTTTTTTTTTATTTCTTTTTTTTTTCGTCTTCACTTCAGATCAGCGATCAAAGCACTCTATTTTGGTTGTGTTTTATGCATACGTGGTACTTGTTAACCCTAAGTCTGGGGTTCAGGATTCTTCCCACTGTGTCTTTCCTGCCCCAATTCGCTCCCTCTCGCTGGAGCAGACGCCTCACGGCTTTGGAGGCCCCGCAAACTACCTGCCCCCCCCGGCGGCTTGCATGTTTGCTTTTGGTTCGTTGCTGTCGCTGCTGTTGCGGTGGCGTGCGGGGTTGACCTTGTGGATGAGATTTTCCTTGTTTTGTTTCCTACAAGATCCCAACGAACTCATGTCTATCCAAAGATAAGAGTTCAGTCTGGGATGAATTTGCAACTAATTGTACTCCCCTAATATGAATTTCGGTTAGTATATACGAGTTTAGTTCCCCATGCTACCCCGAGGTTAACGTTTCGTGCAACTGCCCTCCCCTCCCGCAGGACTTGGACCTAGGGTGGGGCAAGGGCGGCGCGGAGCCCCCAGAGCCGCCGCAGGGGGTCGCGGGTCACGGCGGGCGCACGCGATGGGGCAGCGGGCACTACTACAAGGCACGGTTCTCGTTTAGTGCGATGCCTGGATGGTGTTTGTTTCGTACGCTGGCGGTTGTGGTTGTACCCGGAAAAATGAGGTCTCGTGTCGTCGTCCTCCTCCTTGTTGTTGTTGATGACGTTGTTTCTTGTTCTTTGTTCTTTGTTCTTGTTCTTGTTCTTGTTCTTGTTCTTTCCTATTGTTCTTGTTCTTGTTCTGTTCTCGTTCTCAGTCCCACTGTTCCTCTCTGCGAAAACAGTTTTTTTTTATTTTGCCGTAGTTTCATCATGCACGAAGCCGAAGGGAGGCGTTTCCCTCTCGGCAAAACAGTTTTTTTTATTGTGCCGTAGTTTCATCATGCACGAAGCCGAAGGGGGCGTTTTCGTCCACATTAAGTGCAAAGGATGCTGCTTCCATGGGACCGAGCAGAGACCGGAACGGTTTTTAATTGTCAAGACAACACCAACGATGAGAAATCCGCTTTTTTCGTCAGAAACCCGCTCGACGTGCTGTACCGTAGCACACGACACGCCACGTTACGACACAAACGAAGTACAAACGAATGCCCCATGGCGCGCCTTGATGCGGTTTACAGGTCAGCCGGAGAAATAGCTACTCGGACCGGGACATGTTCGAGGGTGGAGAAGATGAAGAGGACGTGCCCATGAAGGTACGCCAGCCCCCCCCTTTTTTCTTTTATTTTCATCTCTTGTGGGAGATTATTCTCGTAGTACACGAGGGGAATGGGAAAGAGCCATCCCCGGGTTGTTTGCAGTATCGAGACGCGTTTTGGTGCAGTGTACAGCAGGAACGATGAAAACTGCGCCCACCTCTGTGAGCACGATGAAGCAGATGTTTTTTCTCGCCGTTTGTGCTCGTGGAAGAACAGCATACCGATGCTGAACTCGGGGTGTGCACTATAAGAAAACCGCATCCCCTAGTTTTCCAGCGTACCATAGATGCGACCGTTTTCTGTAAAACGTGGCGAATCCTTGACCCTTTGTTGTCGCGCTCCAACTTTTGGTCAAAAATGATTATTTCCCACTGCCGAATCGATACGAAAGTTACGAATAGTGCCGGGAGCTATCTCATCCCCCGTTTTCCTATACCACCAATGGTGTTGATCGTGGCGTGTCAGCGGTTATTTTGCATCCAATTTCCCCCCCACCCCCACGCTACCCACCTCGATTGAATCAGCTCCGTTGCTGACTCGATTTTGGGAAGCAAACTCCAATGGCCTCCTAGAGAATCGAACAAGATAAGGAATGGCGCATGACGGGTAAGAGTTGGGCACCCAATCACCCCCCCCCCCCCCCACCTTAGTTGAATCCGCTTCGCAATGGCCCGCTCCGCTCCTGGATCGATTTCGGGAATAATATTCACGGCGAAGATCCTCGGCGCTATCTCCATCGGCCTGGGCAACACCATGGGCATCCGGGCGTGCATGCTGAGGTACAAGGAGCTTCGCCCTCGGGGGGACAAGACCGCCGGGGGGATGGCGTGGCACGGCGACCGAGGGGGACTCAAGCGACGAAGATGAGGCGAGAGTCAGTCGTCCCCGCTCCCTAAGGACACCAGAGAAGCGGTTGTTGGTACTGTCTTAAACCGTTCCGATCTCTCACATTATATACCGTTCCGATTCAGTATTGTTTTCAGAGGCATGGTGCTGTGCAGAATGAATATGATAGAAATAGGGGGTGGTATGATTGAAGGACACTTCCTCGCTAAGGGCATTTTTTTGGGAAGAAAACCATGAGTGTCCTTAAAGCGGAGCTGACTGTGTAGAGGGGCATACAATGGAGTTGTGGTTGATGTTTGTTTCGCTTTGGTAATGTAGCCGTTGTCGTTTGTGTCATTTCTGCAGTTGCTGCTGTTTTGCAATGATGTTGTTCCAACGCGTGTCGCTGTCGCTGTTGAAGTTGCTGCGGTTATCTCTGCCGGTACGATTTACTCTAGCCTTGCGCAGGATACCCTGGTGTTTTCCCGGACGATCTTTTAAACGTCTAGCTGGAACCAATCCGTAAGGTTGCGAGTCAGCGCACAGGGGTGCGATCGATTTTTAAAGCGTAGTTTCTCTACAACCAGAAGGGTGCGAGCGCCACAGCTGATATTCCTCAGGAAAGCTCTCGATGAGATATTTCCAAAACCGCCCCTTTCGACAGTGGTAACCTCCTACTTGTGGAGAAAGTACGCCTAGAAAATCGCTCGCACCCCTGTGCGCTGACTCGCAACCTTACGGCACTCGAGAACACATGGGCTGAACATGTGGTATGCAAACTCGGGGTCGTGATCGATTCATCAGCTTCCTGATCTCATGCCATAGTCTTCTCTCGAGTGGCCAATGGTCTAACAGCTGAGGCATGCACAACATGAGTACCCCCCCCCCCCCCCCAACCCTCCCCCGCGTGTCGCAGTTGGAACACCCCCAGTCGCACCTCATGTTTGAGAGCAGCGGTTTTCGGAGGATGGTTGCGCCGCACCTGCCGCTAAAGCCGGGCGCCAAGGCGCTGGGGCTTGCGAAAGACGACGAGGGCTGGGAGGCGATGGCCATGAGGGATGAGCTGACGGACGTTATGCTCCACAGCGCGTTCGGAGAAGCCATCTCCAAAGAGGTGCGTGCAAGAATTCAGTAGCATTGCGCGCAGGTTCTTAGGAAGCAAACATGTTGGATATAGTATGGAATCGGTGGAATTTCGGGGGTTTCACGTTGGGTTAGGTATGGAAGCGGCGGGATTTGCGGGTTAGGGTCTAGGTCGTAGTCCCTGCTTCTCTGTTTCATACTTTCAAGAAACAATTTCTTTGAGAAAGGCATTGCTCGTGGGTCTCGGGGATGCGTTCGGCGTTCGTACACACATACAAAGGCGAGCGATGTGTGTGCTCTTTTTCTTAAATTTGGGCGGCGCTACAAGAAAACGGTGACCGATTTCTTGGAGGAGTACTACAACCATCGCCCCGAACCGCACGGGGTAGCAGTTTAGGCTTTCCCCGTTGTGTGGCCATGGTCTATCCCATTCACCCCCATGGTCATCACAGCCACCGGTTGCCAGGCTCCGTGCTGCCGCCGGCAAACGACCAACCCACTTACCTGGCTTGCTGTACAGAACGCATCAAAATTCCCTGCGACCGTGAACTTGGCGTCGGGAGAGAAAGCTGGTTTCTGCTCCACTCCACTGCCTTCAAAACAAGTTATCGATGCTCAACAACCCCCCCCCCCCCCCCCGGCAATACGCTGCCATGTGTCCGGCGACAGCTGAGTAAGCCCTATGTATACCCTTTTTTCGTGTGTTCCTTTTTTGTTTTTTGTGGACAGTGTCCCTGCTACCCCCCGTCTCCCGAGCTTGGCACTTCAAGGTCTGGAGGCCCGTCGTTTGGTGGAAAGCCTGCCGCGGGCGCTGCTGCCGCGGGCGCGAGAGCACCCCCCGCCGCCTCCCCCAGGTAAGGTGTCCCTGCGGAACCCCCCGCCGGCGTCCGGCGCGTCGTCGAAACGGGGGGGACAAGCGCGTTTTTCTGCGAAGGACGGTTGTATTTTTTGTCGGGACGGGAATAATTGTGCGGTGAACCACTTCCTCTTCTACCACCCCCCCCGTCCTCCGTTTGAAGGTGGATGTGCATACATTGTTGTTGTTGTCGTTGTTGTTGTTGTGTTTCACAATAAAAAACCGTTCGGTTCCCTCTACGCATTACCTTTTTCTGTCCGTACAAGTCAAAATACACACGAAACGGTAAATGTGAGGTAGCAGTTGCATGCTTCGAACGCAGTATTGTACCAAGTGGGAAGGTGGTTCGTCCTTCTGCAGCTGTGTTTCCGGCGCTTTTATGAACGGTGCTTACCGACCAACTCACATGATGGGGGTGTAGCTCAAATGGTAGAGCGGTTCATTAGCATTGAACAGGTAGGGAGATCGATGCTCTCCACCTCCACTCTAATTTTTTCTCTTTTTTGCCTTTTGAGGTCTCCTCATCCAAGTTGATCCAAGCCATGTTTTTTTCTTGTGCACTTGACATCTTTTTTGGGTAAGTTGGCCTGTGACCACGGGAATCGATCCCGTCAAGTGGTAGACTAGTACGGACAGAAGAAGGTACTAGGCAGAGAGAACGGAACGGTATTTTTATGTGAAGACAACAACAACAAGAACTGGATGGACGTTTTACGTAGAGGGATCTGCCACAACTGCTTGCCGCTCAAGTCGTGCTCAATTCGTCGTGGAGATAGCAGCGGATATCTGCCTTGTTCACACACACGTTGGATGTTACCGTAATAGTCGGAGAGATGGCACCCGTGGGGAAATGGCGCCGAGTTGCGCAAAAAATCCAAGAACGGCATAATTAAATTCGATCTACGCACCGGGGTCGGTGAGGTAGCACCCGGTGCGATCTCACCGACCCCCAAATCCGAGATTGAGCTCCTTTTCAGCTGCCGGAATGCGGTACATGTGCGTACCTTTTGCATGTGGGGACGGTGTCAGCGGAGCGCCACTCTTGTCCTGTATGTACGTATGCATGGTCGCGGTTCACGCGGGATGCTAGCTGTTTTCATTTTTTAATTGGTATGGAAGTTACCAATCGTACACTCAGCCAAACACACAACATACAAGCCGCACCCTACCCCACCTTATGCAACACGAAACTATTGTACTGGTATCCGTAGAGGAAGACCGAAATGAAGGCGGAAAGACAGCCTGATACCGCATGTACCGGTGCCTCAGACGGAAACCACATCGTTTGTTGCCCTTCGCGCCATAGCCAAACTCGCCTTCTCGCTGCATGGAAAGCTGTTACCTATCAGCCTACGTCGCCGTTACCGGTGTGCTTCCAACCAGCAACAACGGTACCTACACGTGTGGTTCTAACTGATCAATAGCCGTGTATGTGCGTGGGTATGCCTACACTGGTATCAATACTCTGTTACCAGTCGGGGAGATGGCACCGGGGTGCGTGCATAGAACACCTGTGTGTATGTCATCGGGGATGGCACCGGTCGGAGAGATCGCACCGGGTTGCCTTGAAAAAACGAAACGAGATGATATATTTGCATTTCCGCACCGGGGTCAGAGAGATGACACCGGTCGGAGTGATGGCGCCGGGGTGCGAAAAAAAAAAAACGAGGAAAAAACTTAAAAAAAAAAACCGAGCGCACCCGGTGCCATCTCTCCGACTATTACGGTATTTACGTAGCAGATACACACATCCCCGTGTTAGCCTGGTGTACATTGAAGAGTAGATGTGACACCACACCGGCAGAGATGGGGGTGTAGCTCAAATGGTAGAGCGGTTCATTAGCATTGAACAGGTAGGGAGATCGATGCTCTCCACCTCCACTTATTTTCTTCCTTTCCCGTTTTTCCGTTTTTTTTTTCTCATCCAAGCCGTCTTTTCTCTTGGGGATCGGGCGTTTGACCTATAAATGGGCCGGTCACAATTGCTTGCCGCTCAAATCGCGCTCTGTCCGTGCAGAAAGCAGCGGATGTCTGCCTTTCTTGCTCTCTTGTCGCCATTCGCTTTCACACACACTTTGGATCCTATTTACCCAGCAGATACACACATCACTGTTCGCCTGGCTGTATATTGAAAATTAGATGTGATGTTTCATAGACAGTGACGGGGGTGTAGCTCAAATGGTAGAGCGGTTCATTAGCATTGAACAGGTAGGGAGATCGATGCTCTCCACCTCCACTCAAGTTTTTCCTTTCCCGCTTTTTCGGTTTGTTCTTTCTCTTATTTTCTCATCCAAGCCGTCTTTTCTCTTGGGGACCGGGCGTTTGACCTATAAATGGACCGGTCACAATTGCTTGCCGTTCAAATCGCGCTCTGTCCGTGCAGAAAGCAGCTAATGTCTGCCTTTTTTGCTTTCTTGTCGCCATTCGCTTTCACACACACGTTGGATGTTATTTTCCCAGCAGATATACACATCACTGTTCGCCTGGTTGTATATTGAAAAGTAGATGTGATGTTTCATAGACAGTGACGGGGGTGTAGCTCAAATGGTAGAGCGGTTCATTAGCATTGAACAGGTAGGGAGATCGATGCTCTCCACCTCCACTTTTTGTTTCGACCCTTTTTCAGTTTGTTCTTTCTCTTATTTTCTCAACCAAGCCGTCTTTTCGCCGCGTTGGACCGGGCGTTTGACCTATAAATGGACCGGTCACAATTGCTTGCCGCTCAAATCGTGCTCTGTCCGTGCAGAAAGCAGCTAATGTCTGCCTTTTTTGCTTTCTTGTCGCCATGGCTTTCACACATACGTTGGATGTTATTTTCCCAGCAGATGCACACGTCCTTGTTAGCCTGGTTGTATATTGAAGAGTAGATGTGATGTTTCACAGACAGTGACGGGGGTGTAGCTCAAATGGTAGAGCGGTTCATTAGCATTGAACAGGTAGGGAGATCGATGCTCTCCACCTCCACTCAAGTTTTTCCTTTCCCGCTTTTTCGGTCTGTTCTTTCTCAACCAAGCCGTCTTTTCTCTTGGGGACCGGGCGTTTGACCTATAAATGGACCGGTCACAATTGCTTGCCGCTCAAATCGCGCTCTGTCCGTGCAGAAAGCAGCTAATGTCTGCCTTTTTTGCTCTCTTGTCGCCATGGCTTTCACACATACGTTGGATGTTATTTACGCAGCAGATACACACATCACTGTTCGCCTGGTTGTATATTGAAAAGTAGATGTGATGTTTCATAGACAGTGACGGGGGTGTAGCTCAAATGGTAGAGCGGTTCATTAGCATTGAATAGGTAGGGAGATCGATGCTCTCCACCTCCACTTTTTGTTTCGACCCTTTTTCGGTTTGTTCTTTCTCTTATTTTCTCAACCAAGCCGCTCTCGCTATTAGATGTCGAAACCAAACCACTCCACTATTGGTCAGCGCTGACAGCTTCAATAGGTTTGTCTTTCTTTCTGTGGGACAATACACAACCGGCAACTGGAACTTGTTGGGATAGATAATGTCACGAATGTTTTGCAATCCTCATCTAACCTACATTTCCGCCGACGAGGTTGTTTGATGTAGTGCTGCAACCGCCGTAGATGCCCTAACATATGCCGCTGCTGCTGCCGCTGCTCCTGTTGCTGCTGCTGCTGCTGTAGGCGGAGGGCTCGGTCAACATCGTCGTCCGATGGGCGCGACGATGACGAGGAGGAGGAAGAGGAGGAGGAGGATTTCGATCTTCCCAAGGACCTGGGGATAAGGACGTGGACCAAGGCTCTCACGAAGGAGGAGAGGGCCAAGCGGATGACGGGGCTTAAGAGCAAAACCGCCATTCTCTCCGTACAGTAAGTGACAGACAAGTACACATGCCCTCTCTTTTCGTAGCCGTTTATCCATGCTGAACCCCGAGAGCTTTCATTAGGTGTAACTCTCTTCTCCTGCGAACACCACAAACGGCTGAAAAAATACAGTGTTGACCTTCCTGCTGCACTACCCCGGCTGGAAGAATCTGCGTGACGGAAACGGTATAAGTCTTTCCGGGATGTTTGTTTCCTTTCCACGGGTTCACGTTTTTGTTTTTTCTTTATCGCGAATTTTTTGCATCACAGCGCGTTCGAAGGCAGTCTTCGTGCCGAAAGGCATTGACGTGCGTTCGGTGCTTTGCGAGTTTGGTTCGTGGGATTTAAGCGATATGTAGTTGATCATGCCGTCGTTGTGGTTGGGGGCGTTGCGCGGATATTGCCAGTTTTTGTGGCACGAGTACCTACCGGTGTTGTCAAAAACAAGAGACGCCCCCCCCCCCCTTCTTCCGCGATTCCCCGGGGACCCCTACTCCAACAAGCGCGATATCCGTCCCACCTGGAAGGGGATAATGGTAGGCCATGCACGGCCGTGTGACATCTGCCGTTATCCGTAAGAGTAGCGACGCCTGCTCCCGCCGCCCCCCTGCCTCCCTGTCGCGGGTCATCTTGTCGCTTGAACTTCGTTTTCGGTGCCCTTTGTCTCTCTTCTGTACCGCAGGTGCGTCCTTGCTGCCAGGAGACCGGTGCCGGTGGTGGTCTACACGGCTAAACCGGTGCAGTGAATGGTTTTTCGGGGTCCTCTTTTTCGCTCAGAGGATGTGGAGTTTGGTGCTTTCGTAGACGTGGTTCGGAGTATGGTCAGTGACAGGCAACGGGATGCAACTCGCACTTTTTAACGGTTACGACACCGCGTACCGGCACCGTACCGTGCACTGCTGTGCAGTAGAGGATTTCGGGCTGTTTTGTTGGGATGGTGTGGAATTTAACGCTTTCGTGGACGTGGTTCGGAGTATTTTAGAAGGCCAGGGATGAGCAACGGACTGCAAGTGGCAATTACCGTACCGTGTACACGTACCGTGCCGTGCACAGTGTAACAGCAGTAGACGGTTTCAGGCATTTTGTTGGGATGGTGTGGTATTTAATGCTTTGGTAAACGTGGTTCGGAGTACTTTAGAAGGCAAGAGGGAGCAACGGCATGCCACCTTGCAGTCGACGGCAGTTGTCGTCCTGCGTACAGGTACCGTACCGTGTACAGGACCGTACCGTGCACAGGTACCGTACCGTGAACAGTAGTGTATTCGGTGTCGTTTCTTTTTGTTAGGATGAGGTGGTGTTTAATGCTTCGGTAGACGTGGTTCGAAGTATTTTGCAAGGCCAGGGATTGGCAACGGAACGCAACCTAGCACTTTACCGTTACCGTACCGTGTACAGAGTGACCGTACCGTGGACAGGTACCGTACCGTGTACACAGTGCAGTAGACCGTGCTCATGCTTTTTGGGTGAGATTTTGTTGTGTTCATTGCTTCGTAGGCGTGGGTCGGAGAATTGTAGAAGGCCAAGGATTGGCAACAGAAGGCAGCCTCGCGCTTGACGGTCACCGCACCGTGCACAGGTACCGCACCGTGTGGATCTACCGTACCGTGTAAAGGATAAAGGAACACGTACCGTGCTGTGGACAGACCAACAAGGGTCGTGCCCTTGCTGCGTGGTGGCCGCGCTGTTCGGTTTGACACGGCTTGAGTTTGGTGGAGTGTTGCACTCTCGTCAGGTGTTGATCATCCGTGTGGGTGCTGGTTTAGAACAACTTTTCGTTCCTCATATGTTGTTTTGAGTGTCTTGTCTTTTCATGGATTTATTTTGGCCATATCTTTTGCTTGGGGGTATGCTTGAAACTTAAAACATGTGTTGTTCGACCTCGAGGGTTTTCTTGCCATTTTCGATAACTTTATCGTGCACCCTGCGTGGAGTACGTTGTGTTGAGTAAGGAGCTTGGTCTCTCCCGGGGATGCTCTTGATTCGGTGCGAGCGAAACTAGTGGGTTAAATACTTTTGCTCCCGTGTAATCTGTCTATATATTTCGTGGTAAGCATGTTTCTGTCTACTTTGTTCTTTGGGTATGCTTGGCCATGGAAGTCAACGTGTCTTTGCTTTCGTTCGGAAGTGAGGTGAGTGGAGGGGTTCGACATGTATCTCAGCGATGATATTATTTTCTGTGAAGCCAAGGCAACACCGATCGGTGTGTCTGCCTTTTGCTCCGCCCCCGACTGTCGGACAAGGCACCGACAGGGGGTTTCGTGTATCTGTACCGATGAACCCGCCCCATAACCTATGAGTGCCGCTGCTGCTGTGGCAGCCTAAAAAGTAGCGGCCTTGTTCTATTGTGTTCTTCCTTCGGCGCTGATCTGGCAGCACTTAGAGGTAGGTAGGCTTGATGCTGTATGGGCGAGCGATGGGGCGATCTTGGAGGCACGACCCTACTGCCGGCGAGTGCTTGAAATGCAGTTGGCTCGGGTAACCTACTCGAGTATTTCGCACTACACATTCCTGCATATGATGCGATAACTTTTTTTTTTCTTCATGTAGTCGACATCGCCTCGGATAACCTGGGCGCGGGGTGGCATTACCAATCATATTCGTCTGCAATTTGCTTTTGTTTTTTGTGGCAAACGGCGTGCCGTTTTGATAGTGGTGGGTGTGAGTGGTTGGGAACCTTCCGCTGGTGGGTGTGGTCATGTTTTCAAAGGGGGGGGAATAGTTGTCATGAAATGGGACAGTTTCGTCCTTCTTTCGAAGCACGCACGTTTGCAGCAACGCGCGAAGCACGTTCCTTGGCTTCCTTCTGTGGGAACCTAATGCCTCGCAGCCTCTGGGGAAAAAGGAGACGTTTCGGACAGCTACCTAGTACATACCGTGGTGATGTCAGCGATTGGCTCAACGTTTGACCAGTGGTGTGTTCGGGATGCACAAGGGGTTTAGCCACGCGTGTTGGCAGGGGACGCCAGCAAAAGCAGCGGCATGCAGTAGGCTTGTCGGGGTACCATCGAACATTCCGGGGAAATGTCGTGCCGTCCTGTTTGCAACCGTCCGATTCATCGCGTTTGTGAAGGACGGCGGCATGTAGATTGGACCGAGCCGGCTCCAACACGAGCTTGCTGATTTTGTATGATATTGCTACGAGCTCCCGGAGCTTAAGTAGCTTCGGTGTTTCTGGCAGCAGATGAAATGGGCACGCGTTCCTCTGGCCGCCCAAACCAGTAAAATGCAGAGACTTGCGCCTCACACTCCCCACATGAGGGATGAGGGACGTTTCTTTTCATCAAGGAGGGGGGGGTGGCGGCAGCGCTTCCAAGGAGAAGTTCTTCGCAGTCTAACGATTGCCTGCACAGTATTGGTGGTCAACATACTTTTCTTTCGTTTTGCGTGAGTTTTGTTTCTGTTTTTCGTTGTCCGAAGATGGAATGGCGATGTGGCGGGGCACCAACGTCGAAGCGCGTTATTTGAAAGTACAACGGTGTGCGTGGAATCTACTTCGTGTTCTTATGGTGGCTTGAAGATCGAACTGGGGCGTGTGTGCGTCTAGAAGAAAACAATTCCTCTTTCTACTGTTTTGCCGTGCGTTCGGCAGTGTATGTGGGCTTTTGCACACGATCGTGATTGGCCACTGGCCACCCAGCGTTCAGATCGCAGCGATTCAGCACAGAGTCGTTCATGCCGTTCGGAAATCACGAAGAACGATGACGCGGCACGTTTCTCCGCAAGGAAGCGTCTTTCATCGAAGCAAGCGGGCACAGCGAGGTATCACCACCACCATACCTTGCATGTGATGTCACGTTGTCTGTTTACGCTTCTCCTATTTGGCCTTTTGTCATCATCATATTTACACCATCGCTCACGGCCTCTATTTTTCAACCGATCTCGCCCTCCTCGCTAAGCAGCTTTGACCCCGCGTCACACATCCAGTACGATCTTTCCTCCGCAGCGCGTGCACGTCTGAATTTCCACGAGACAAAGGGGAATTTTGTGTGTTGGACCCACGTAGACTTTCCCGATGGTTCCAATGGCACCACATTTCCTCGTGTGTACTGAATGAACCATGGCTGAGCGCTCGCTCCAAGCACATCATTCGTTCCGCAGCAAACACAAAAATGTGGGCATGTTGTCTCCCTCTGGGAGAATAGGCTTCACCAAGAAACCATCCACCTGTGGCACCACCTGCGGGCGACGACGGGCGCGAAACCAACAGATATTTGGCGCCCCTCCGCTCTATGTGCCCGCCATCAACCCCGAGGTGTTCGAACCACCGGTTGTCATCGAACCGAGTCTGACTGGGCATCGAGAATCACGGCGACTCGAAAAACAGACCCAAGCCCTATCGACTTTCGGCAAAGCGTGGACAACCTCGATGAGAACGGAAATCGAAAACTCGCGGCACCTATTCAAGTCTAGACTAACGTGCCCTTGAGGGAATTGAAAGAGAATCGTAAACAAACGACAGATTGTTCCAACTTCAAACACACCCATGATCGTCTTTGGCCGAGAACGTTCTTAGCGGTGCCTTTCAATTCTCCAGGTGACTAGGTTTCGGGTTCCCTCCCCTTTGAATTCCCCGCGTTCGTCCACTCAACCCTGCGCGGTCCATGAAAAAAACACGCTAACCACGAAGTAGCATAGGTATTTCCCTTTAATCTGGCCTGAGGTCTCAGCGCAAAATAGCGCTCCATCAAGAACAACAATTCTGCGCGGCCTGCGTGTCTGTACGCTTTATATAGGTTTTAGCATACATCACTTGATGTTGAAGGGGGGTCAGCACGCCGCACGTGACCATACAGCAGATTGCAGCTATTGCAGCTGCAGAACACACGCACAGGCACACACGCACAGGCACACACGCACAGCATACAACACACGCTCCGCGGGCACAGCGGCACACGCACAGCAGGCTGAGCGGGCACAGCGAGCGACAACATACAGTGGCCAGCGAAATAGAGGGAGTAGCTGCTGTGAGCTCATGGCAATTGAACAAAGACAAAGCCGCGGGCAGAGGGAGTCCCTAGGCAGCCCACAGCTTGACAGGGCGAGAGCTGATGCTCGTCAGAGGGCTGCCGCCAGGCGTGCGAGGGAGACGGATGGAGCACGGGCAGAAAGGTGCGTTGGTACGTGTGGGCGATTGAGAGCCGCCGCTAGGCGACAGCGAGGGCAGCCGCCGACACCAGAGCAGCGGGCGGCTAGCCGCGAGAGAGACGCTGCGAGGCGCCAGCAGCAGACACCACAGCAGCTGGCGGCTAACCGTGAAAGAGACGCTGCGAGGCGCCGGCGGGAGACGCAACCAAAAGCGACAGAGGCCAGATCAGCCAGATGCACGACAAAGTCAATTGCAAAAAAAAAAAAGACTCTCTTCTTCCACCTGCGGTGCCCCCGCAACCACACGCACTTCCTCCCGTGGACGAACACATCTGACGACAGTTACATCTATCAGCTGTCGCTCGTTGTAGCGACAGCTACTGCTGTATCTTCTATAAGCCCATGACCCTTCCTTGCCGTCATTTGTTGTCCACGCAGTCAGCCTGCTTCCAATGAACCCGCGAGGTGTGGCACACCATACACACCATCAAAGGATAGTGGATTCATTTAATATCTACGACCTCACCTTCGTCTACTCAACGCATTGAACTAGCAAGGTTCACGAGAAAAATACGTTCACCGCCACAACATGTCCGTCTGTTCCTTCCCATAAATACCCACGACCTCGCATGGTCTACATACCCGCTTCAAGGACCAGCAATGATCACTACAGCAGTGTACATGAGTAGTCGACTATACCCTCCGTCTCGTGTGCGCTTTGCAGGCTTCGGCTTTCCTCGTCCCTTTAGCGCCCCCGTAATATGCCCTTTTTTTGCATTCTTCATTGGGTGCAAGTCTTCACAATTGTGTCCCCGGGCAGGTGGTATCTTTATCTCTTTTGGTAAATAATATGTCGTTCCGCCCTGGGTCGACTTTGTGTTGCTTCTTACGTCTCTTGTCGGGATTGCGACGGGGCCTTGCTCGCACAAGCAGGTTTTCTGCCAGTGAGATTGCTGGGGAAGGTTTCGTGGGAGAATGTCGCGGTGCGTGCGTTTTCGGGCGGGGATCCTCGCTCCTCGCTCCTCGCTTCTCGCACTGCTGTCCTCGCACTGCTGTGCCGCTGTGCCCTTTGCCCTTTGTAACAAACAAGGGCAGCGAAAATGTGTGCGGCGGAATTAATATCCCCGAACCGTCATTCAAACCCTATTTTTTTTTCCCCAAGAAATAGTCTCACCGTCTCGCTCCTGTTCGCGCTGCCCCCTCCCCAGCTCCTCCTCCTTGGTCTTGGTCTCTGGTCTTGCTCAAAAGGGCAAGGGCATCTACGGCTACGCTGCTTTGAATCTCCACCCAACCAACCATGTCTGCTGAGGAGCCTTCAGGTAAGGTGGTGGCATGCAAACCGGCATGATTGTTGTACGAGGCACTTTGGATTGTTTCTTGAGATGAAGGACTTCGAGCAAGAAAACACCACATTTTTTTATCTCCCAACCCCATGGCTGTCTTTTGACCATGCCGCAGGGTAGAGAGGATAGGGGCAAAGAGGGCAGACGGCATGGGGGAGCTGCTGAATCTTGGTGCCATAGTCGTTGCGCTTGTCCTGCTTTGTGCCCGGGTCACTGATCGGACGTGACATCACCCACAGTCAAGGCTACGCAGCAGTCATATTCGAGGATCATTCTGTCCGCCGCTCCCGCTGATATCGCATCTACGACAGCAGCAGAGCAACCATTGCACACCCGTTGTCACCTCATCTGCTACTAGTGGATGCCACCGGGATTGCATTGATAGGTATATCGGGATGTGCTGATCGTCGGCAAGCGCGTGTGCTCCACGCCCCCCTGGGAGAATGTGGCGCGTGGTACATTCCCACAAGCTGATGCACTATTTTCTGCCCGTGTCTCAAGTGGTACTACTTGTATGCATACGGCCGGAGGTCTTCTTGTCTGCATACATGTACAATGCCTACGGTATTCTTTCTTCACAATCCGGACGATGCATGCAGTAGGGGTGTGTACCCGTAGTGCCAAGAGAGAATTGTCTTGGGTATGCAGAGCAAAACGTGAGATAGAACTTGCAGATTCCGCGGGCCGGTACAATGTACAAGTACTCGCTCTTGCTAATATCGAAGTAGCCTCTTTGCAATCAGACGCATCGCCGTTTTTTCCCCGCGCCGGCTTTCGGTACTTGGTGTGCATGTGTGCATACTGTACTGGGTTCAGGGTCGGCTGAGCCTACATTTCCGAGGCATGCTATTGTATACTCGAAGTTTGCTCGTGCTGCAGCCATGCAGTGCTGTAGACCTCCGGAATTTAGATGTTTCCGGAGTCTTGCCCTGGAAAACCAACGACAGGAGCAAGATACAGCAGCAGGAATTCCAGAAGTACAGCTTTGTAAGGTGCGTACCGAGGCATACCGCCGGTATATGCCCTTTCGGTGTCTCGGTACGATCTGTACAGGCTTCTACAGTATACCCTACCGAAAATCTCGGTACGATCTGTACAGGCTTCCATGCTTTTACCGAGAGTACCGGTGTAATACCCTTGACAAATACCGAAGGTGTCGACAAATACCGAAACGCCGTTCCTTTCACTCTTTTTTTTTTGTGAGAAGCCGGGCAGCCTGTAGCCGTAACATGGTGGGTGAGAGATATGTCGATCTGGGATATATCTACTCGGCAACGAGAGAGCTGGAGTGCCAGCCTCAGGTTCTCCGTTTCCACGGTTATTTTTGTTTTTCTCGAAATAAAACGAAAATAGCACGTTTGGGGTGATTCCCACAACCATTTAACCCCCAGTCGACCCGGCCTGCATGGTGCGAGATTGCTGGTACATAGCCTGTGCTAAACCTGCCGATTTCGTCTCTGTAAATGTGGCTCGGTCCAGAATGTGAACAAGATGCTCATGCAGGCTACGTGGGCTGAAGGTTTTAATGGTAAAGTCTACTTTCTATGCCTCCCGAGCATAGCATGTGATCAGACACAAAGAAATCAGTGAGAGGGCTTGAAAACCCAGACCTCCCAGAAAAGGCGATCCGGCTTGGTTCTGCACGTTTGCCTTTGGCCAATGGCACGATCGATAGTTTGTGGCGAAAGGGGCATGGTGACGCTCTCTGCTGTCACTTTTAATTGTTCACCAACTGGCAATCTGCTGCGATCGCAACCACGCCAAACGTTCCACCTTTTGCGTGTTTTTTCTTCATGTTGACTTTGCTTTTGGGGTGGTAAAAACCTCACCGTATAAGATATCACTTGGTTTGATGCTCTATGCTGGTACTTTTAATTGTCCACCCGCCTGCGACTTGCTGTTGCGATCATAACTTCGTCAATTTTCACCCCTTTTTTTTTTTTAACATATGCTCTCTTTCGTTGCTACCGGACGCAAAAGCGCACTACTATCAACCTTTGTGCAGCCAAAAAAAGCCACTTTTCGTCACGCCTTACTATGCAGTTTCGTGTTAGGACTGACTTGCGCCACACCGTTTGACGTCGCTGTTGTTGCTGGGGGGGGGGCACGCGAACAGGAATTAGTCCGGAAGAACGGGCCCATGAGTTCAGCGCCCTCAACACGCTTCTTCTGGTGAGCCAGCCAGGACATGGCATGTAACCGCCATGTAGCCGGAAACGGGACTTTTGCTACTCGTTTTCCCACCTTTTTTAGAGCCGTGCTGGCACACTTGTGGCGCGTTGATTTCATGGAGCACTTGAGGATACCGCCACGTAGCAGGAGGGGCTATGGTAACTCGTTTCCCACTTTTATGAGAGCCATCCTGGCACACTGGCCAGGCGTTGATTTCATGGAGCGCTTGAGGATGCCGTTATGTAGGAGGAGGGGCTATGGCTACTCGTTTCCCACTTTTGCTAGAGCCATCCCGACGCACCTGTCGTTGCATCGGCTTTAAGACGAGAAACAAACACGAGCTCTAGGTCGAAAACACGCTTGGCGCGACAGAGAGGTATGTACCATCACGCTACACAACGTGTGGGGTGTTTTTTTTCAAGCGCTTTGTTGCTGTCCTTTGTGAGAGCGCCTGACTCACTTAGAGCACTCATTCGTTCGCCGTTTGCATCGTGCAACGCCCACAACAGCCAGGGAGAACTTCCTAGCTACAAGTCACCTGCCCCCCCCAATGGCCATCGGCTACGTCCTGTGGGAACAATGCCCCGTCCTCTGGAGGGACGCATGGTCAACAGTCCAACAACTAAGGCATGCACAACATGAGGACCCCCCCCCCCCCCCCCCCCCCCCC